GCTCGGCCCAGCGGCAAAGATGGCGCCAGAGGATCGGCGGCTTCGATGTTGGTTGGGTGGGGTGTAGAGGGTGGCCAAAATGGTGGCAGCAGAATGGGGGCACATGCAGTCATTGTCGATGGCTCAGGACTCTCTTCAAGCTCAACATTTTTTTTCCCCTTAAATTATTCAAAATGGCGCCGTTCTGTGGCAACAAGTGAAAGCTTTTCACTGTATTTTATTGTATTCTTACTGTAAAATACACGTGACAATTAAATCAAAATTGAAATTAAAACGCTCCATCCCAGACAACCTCCCAGTGATTCTCTTCTGCACCAGACCCAGTGCAGCCATATCCTTCCTATAGACCAGAACTGCACACAGTTCTCAGGCTGTGGTCACACCAAAGTACAGCAGGACTTTGATCAGATGGGGCCGAGAAGCGGCAGATGGAGTTTAATTTAGATAAATGCGAGGTGCTGCATTTTGGAAAGGCAAACCAGTACAGGACTTATACACTTAATGGTAAGGTCCTGGGGAGTGTTGCTGAACAAAGAGACCTTGGGGTGCAGGTTGATAGTTCCTTGAAAGTGGAGTCACAGGTAGACAGGGCGGCGAAGAAGGTGTTTGGTACGCTTGCCTTTATTGGTCAGTGCATTGAGTATCGGAGTTGGGAGGGTCATGTTGCGGCTGTACAGGTTAGGGCCACTTTTGGAATACTGCATGCAGAACTGGTGTCCCTGCTATAGGAAGGATGTTGTGAAACTTGAAAGGATTCAGAAAATATTTACAAGGATGTTGGAGGGTTTGAGCTATTGGGAGAGGCTGAATAGGCTGGGGCTATTTTCCCTGGAGCGTCAGAGGCTGAGGGGTGACCTTATAGAGTTTTATAACCTCATGAGGGGCATAGATAGGGTGAATAGCCAAGGTCTTTTTCCCCAGGGTGGGAGCTTCCAAAACTAGAGGGGCATAGGTTTAAGGTGAGAGGGTAACGATTTAAAAGGGACCTAAGGAGCAAATTTTTCACCCAGAGGGTGTTGCGTGTATGAAACAAGCTGCCAGAGGAAGTGGTGGAGGCTGGTACAATTACACCATATAAAAGGCATCCCGATGGGGACTTGAATAGGAAGGGTTTAAAGGGATACGGGGCCAAATGCTGGCAAATGGGACTAGATTAATTTAGGATATCTGGTTGGCACGTATGAGTTGGAGTCTGTTACCATGCTGTACGGCTCTATGACTCCATGATTCTAAGTTCTGTCCCGCTCCACATGGCTTCCCTGCTCTTGTAATCTATGCCTTGACTGATAAAATATTGATTGATTTATTAGCTTGTCCTGCCTCCTTCGCGAATCTGCGGACAAGCACCCAAAGACCTGTCAGTTCCTCCGAGCTTCAAAGATCAGCAATAACTATAGATACATCTAGGACCAGCATATAAACACGGAAAAATGGCAGATGGAGTCATTTTGCATAATTATGATGTACTGCATTTTGGTACAACAAACAGGGGCAAGGCTTATACAATTAAAGGTAGGGCCCATGGTAGTGCTGTAGAACAGAGAGACCTAATGGTTCAGGGACATAATTCTTTGAAGTTTGCATCACAGATAGACAGGGTGGTTAAGAAGGCGTTTAGCACGCTTGCCTTCATTGCTCAGAGCTTTGAGTGTAGGAGTTGGGACGTCATGTTGAGGTTGTACAGGAGAGGCCTCTTCTGGAGCACTGTGTCCAGTTCTGGTCACCCAGTTATAGGAAGGATATTATTAAACTGGAGAAGGTTCAGAAGTGATTTACCAGGATGTTGCCGGGTATGAAAGACTTGAGTCATAGAGAATGGCTGGGATATGCTGGGACTCTTTTCACTAGAGTGTAGCTGGTTGAAGGGTGACCTTATAGACGTTTATAAAATCATGAGGGATATAGATAGGGTTAATGGTAGGTGTCTTTTTTCTCTACAGTGGGGGATTTCAAGACCAGGAAGCATATTTTTAAGGTGAGAGGAGAAAGATTTAAAAAAGACATGAGGGGCAAATTTTTTTCCACAGAGGGTGGTTCGTGTGCGGAATGAACTTCCTGAGGAAGTGGTGGATGTGGGTACAGTTACAATGTTTAAAAGACACTTAGATATAGTACATGAATAGGAAAGGTTTGGAGGGATATGGGCCAGGAGCAGGCAGGTGGGACTAGTTTGGGATTATGGTCGGCACGGACTGGTTGGGCCGAAGGGTCTGTTTCCGTGCCGTATGATTCTTGTAACTGTATTAGTGATTGGAAACAGAAACAGAAATCGCTGGAAAAGTTCACCAGGCCTGGCAGCAGAGAAATCAGAGTTAATGTTTCGAGTCTGGTGACCCTTCCTCAGAACTGGCATCTGCAGTTCTTTGAGTTTTTATTCAGCGTGTCAGTGTTCTCTGTCTTGTGTGTGTTTAGGTATAGAATGGTGTTGGTTTTAAGAGACTCCTAAACACATGGTATTTCAATCCATATTACTGCTGAAAAGCGCTCTGATTCAATTGGGGATAACACAGTGTGGAGCTGGAGGAACACAGCAGGCCAGGCAGCATCAGAGGAGCAGGAAAGCTGACGTTTCGGGTCGGGACCCTTCTTCAGAAA